GTCACATCCTGGTTAACAGTCCGCTGGTCCACAGTGTCCTAAGGCCTGTGGTGTGCCTGCGCCGGGTTGGTGAGTTGGTGTGAGCTGTGCCCTGACGCCGCACACGGTGTGTGACTTTAATCCAGGTCAGTGGTTCTCACTCCAACCAAACAGCAAAATCACACGGGGAGGGACTGAAGAATAGAGCTAGCAGGTGCCCAGCCCCAGAAATTCTGAATCATTAAATCCAGAGGCCTAGGTTTTAAAATGTCTCCCTGCAGGTTGTGATCAGAGTAGGCTTGCAAACAGCCGCGCCACATCAGGCACCCCGCAGCACCCACGTGGAGGTGCTGCTGATGCATGGCACTCCAGGCGCTGCGGCTCCCGGACCTCTCTCGGGTCAGCGGGATTCTCCAAGATATCTCACATGATAAGACCTGGGCGGAAGTGATAAACACGGACAAATTGTAGGAGGATAAGAAGAAAAGGCAGTGGTAGGAAGCAGAAACTTCTCTCCTGGTAAAATATATATGTATCAAAGTAGACAAAGGTTACACTGAAATTCAAGGAAAAGACATCCCAGAAAAGTAACAGAAGCATTAATCTACACATACTACAATTATTAAAATTCAAAAGTAATCATACTCTCATTAGAATATGTCCTTTTTGGGGGTATCATTTTTTTTTCCTTTTTGTCTTTTTTACTGACCGGCAACGGGATCGCAACCCTCGGTGTTGCGCCTGCACCACGCTCAGCCAGTGAGCGGAACCGGTCTCCACATGGGATCCGAACCCTCGGTGGGAGCGCCGCCGCGCTCCCAAGCGGCACACTCTCCAGTGCGCCACCGGGCCGGCCCTGGGGGTATCATTTTTAATTAATGACAATTAATATGGGAAAAAAAACAAACAAAATCAAAACAAAAACCTCTAATGAATGCCATAAGATCAAATCCCTTTTCTTGGTCTTATGTTGTGAAGCGCCATCAGCAGGAGACCCAGTGTAACATAGGAATCGGTTCACTATATCTGATGTTCTTGGCGTTGACTGTGGGGCTTTGTAAAGACACCTAGGACTGGGCCCAATGCCCAGACAGTTTGGAACCAGGAATCTATTAAAACTTCACAGATGATTACAATTCTCACCAACGGTGAAAATTGTCTCGGTGACTCTGTCATTGCTTGGATGTGGAAGAGAGAGTCAAGATATTAACAGCCAGCCCTGGCATGGGCACCAACCAGTGACTAAAGGGGCAGGCTATTACAAACCGCAGGTGTATCCACAGAAAGTTATTCCCTCACAGTGTGTCCTCAGCAGCTGTGGCTAATGATCAAGATGTTTTAATCAGACTTTTGTTTTATTTAAGAGAAATTCTTATGGTATATGGTATACCAACTGATCTAGGAAGAAATCTTACCACGTAACGTGGTATGGTTATTATTTCCCATGATGTAGATTATGAGAGGTAAAAGAGGGCACAGAATCATCTAGTCAGACCTTTATTTTTCCCCTTACAGATGAAATGCAGAGATAAATCAGGAATCTGTCCAAAGCAGAGTTGGGAAAAACCCAAGACCTCCAGACTCAGTCTGGTTTTGTTTGCTCAACACAATGCTGCCGTCTGCAGATGAGGAGACGGTGGGCTCTGGAAAGGGAACTGCAGTGCCCATGGGAGGGGAGGACAGTCTGCCTGCAACGTGTGCATGTGTGCGTGCGTGTGTGTGCGTGTGTCAGGGACAGGGAGGGGGTAGTGGCTACAGCAAGAGTCTAATGACTACTCATACACCCTTTTAAAACTGCTACTTAACCTTATTGGGACAGGATGCTTGTTTTCAAATTTCTGTAATGCAGTTTGCCACTACCTAGCTGATCCATATCCACTATCAATGTGGTAATCGCAGAAAATATCTGGAAACTGTGCTTGGGGGAGTTATTCAAGTGAAGAGAGGACTAAGTAGCCATTCATGTATAATACTTGTTAAATAATAGACTCATTGTAAGGTTCAAGCCTAATGACAGTTTCTTAAAAATTTAATTATTCAGTATGTTATCCCCTGGTCTTGGCTCGCAGCATTTTTATTCAATAACCTCTTACTTCTGGTTCATCTTCAGCTGCCACATCGCTACCCATTGTTAGTGAACTGCAAAGGTCCTGTGTGACGTCTTCCTTCCGTGGACCAGCTGTGAGACGACAGAGTTCTGGAAGAATTGCTGTAGAATCTGACCCTGAATTCAGCTGCCAGACAGTGCAGAATTTTTCAAATTATTAAGCGTGTCTTTCCTGAGGGCCCCATACACGAGTAGTCAGGAAGTAAATGTTACTCCCCTATGTGAAGTTCTTTGTGTGTCTCTATTACCTTCAGAATAAAACTAACACGCAAGAATGCTTGGGCTGGGCCCCCGGCCACACTGCCCGGAGGTCCTCAAACAATCCCCACTCTTTTCTGCCTCCTCGCCTTTGCAAATGCTATGCCCAATGGCTGCAGTGAGATTCTTGTTTCCACTCCCCCAACTCCTGCTCCGGAACGGAAAACTTCTCCATGAAGTCTTCCAGGACTTCCCCAGGGTGCGTTAGATTTCCTCCACTTCTCCTGCTACTCCCAAACACACACACGCACACGCACACATGCACACACACGCACACACGCGCACGCACAAACACGCACGTGCACACGCACGCATGCACACACGCACGCACACACATGCATACATGCACACACGCACGCACACACATGCATACACGCACATGTGCACACACGCACACACATGCATACACGCGCACACACGTGCACATGCACGCACACATGCATGCACACACATGCACACACACACACACACTATTTCTGCCCTGTACTCCCATCGCACCTGTTTAAACTCCCGTTTTGCATCTCACTGTATTAAATTCATTTTAAAACATTTTCTGGCTGCTCTGACAAGAAGAACAAGGATCTGTTCTGGCCACGTGGGTTCTACTGCATTTTGTTGCATGAGTGTAAGAGGTACAGAAGCTGCTCCCACTCTGCAATTCCCAATGTGTGAGAAGGGGAGTTTACAAAATAATATGCCATGCCAGGAGACCTTGTGTGGAGTACAGAAGGGTGGATGAGGAGGCACTCTGAGAGGACATACACTTTCCAGACCACGGCTTAATCATTTGCTTATTAGCCAATAAAACCTTCCATGAGAATGTAGGTTGCACCCTCTGCCTAACCCTGACAGTGGGCAAACATGTACTCTGGACCCTTTCTCGGTAAGTCCCATCTGCTGGACAAACCTTCTTTTGCTGCAGGTCAGGAGTTGAGCTGAGTGAATAAAATAAGGAATCGTAGTTTCTGAATCCCCCTAACCAGCACACCACACCCCGATGTCCCGACTGACTGAAAGAGAACTAAGACATGGCATTTTGTTCAAGATGCTAATACAACTTTAACTGCAGTCTTGAAAGGCTGCATCTAAGAAACCCTTGATAAAATTAAAATTATAAAACTAATAAACTTTTCCCATGTAGTACAAGCACCAAATAAATAGATAAACAGACACAGTCAGATAAAAGTGACTTCTCAGAGGCCAAGGCTTCCTGCCTTTTTGACTGACTAGCATAGATGTAATCATTACTTTAAAGGAAAAAAAGAAGCATGGTTCCTCCTAGACAAGCAGCCTTCCTTAGTTTGATTCCTGGACTCGTTAGCTGTGTGTCACTGGCCAGGTTACTCATCCCCCGGTTTTATTACTATGTATATACACACACGTATCTGTATATGTGCACACGTGTACACACACGTGCTCTTCTTTCTCACGTCACGGTACTGATGGAGTGATTTAACACAAAGTATCACTTAGAAAATTGTCCGGCTAATAGTAAGCACTCAATGAAAGTTAGTTATTATTATGATCCTAATGATACAAATATTACTAATGAGCTGTTTAACCTTTGCCACTTTTATTTCTTCTGTTACAGTGAGATGTCTTGAGATATATTTGGCCACCCTGTGCCATAGATGCAATTATGCAATTCTGAGCTGAACTAATCCTCCCTGTTCTAATAATGTTTATTTTCACCTCATATTAAATAATATATGTATTATGAAGCTAAAATAATCCTTGTGCCATCACATTCATTCCAACTTTTGCTCTCCATGAAGGGGAAGGACAGCATGTTTGTAATGCTCCGGGGAAGAGTTCGTATTCCCCACACTGTTGTGGGTCATATCCGAATTGCTTTTTAATTTGTTTCCTATGTTATGGTCTTGAAATCAGAAAACATTGGTAATATACTGCAGGAAAACAATTTAATACATGCTAATGTACCTATTGAAAACAACAGAAACAGAGTAAATAGTTATGAGTATATATAATAAATTCAACCCTTGAACTATGCTCAGGATCCAAGATGTATTTTCAATCTTTGAATAGAAAATAACTCGAAATTTTTTACTATGGGCCCTATCGGGGTAGAAATCTTATTCCTAGAACATGCAGAAAGAGAACTTTATGTTCAGTTTGAAAGGTGGGCAATCTGGGTCACAGAGCGGGGGACCTCTCTACGGCCTTCACTGTCATCATCCCGTCACCACCAGCTGAGCCTCCCACCTGTCAGAGCCCCTCCTCATTTGTTTCTGACTTATTTTGGGGTCATGATTGCCCTTGCAAATCTGATAAACGTTATGAATACTCCTTCCAGAAAAATGCACACACACACACACGCACACGCACACAATTCTGCGTGTTAATTAATGGTTTTTATGGGTGCTCTCTTAGAAACAACTCCTTTTTAATGCAGTGGTTTTTATTACCTTTACTCAATGAGCCAACTAATAATTTAAAATCAATTTAATCACTTGATTTCCTTTTAAAAATTTAGTATTTAAAATCCTGACCCATAACGCTCCCAAAAGATTTTAGATAACTCTCTTGTTTTTCTGTGATCAGCATTTTCAAACATCTCTGTACGTGTTTCTGAATGTTTGATTTCTGGGGAATTTTTATTTCTTTCTGTTAGGAAAGCACATCAGGCATTGATGTATGCCTTCTAAGAAATATTTTATTATAATATTATGAGGAAATAAGAAAGAGATGGTAATGCTATTCCCATATAGGTTTATATCAAGTAAACAGTGATAATCCACAGAATCTTGATCATAATTTAGACTCTAACCCCCAAATATATTATTTTGGGAGAAATAAATGTACACATGTACATAGCTACTGTAGTCACAGAGGAAAAAATTCAAAAATATAAACAGAAAGTCTTTTAAAACTCACCCCTAAAGGACATATAGACAGCAACATTGATGAGTCAATCTATGAGTTTCTATATTTATATCTCTTATTTTAAAGTTAGGACAGAGAAAATTCCTGGATATCTGATGTAAGAATTTGTTTTGAAAAGGTTTGATGATTAATGTAAAGCTACTTTAAAAGCATCTTTTATTCTTAGAGTAAAATCTTTAGAAAAGTTTATAATAATCAAAATTTACCATCTTACATTTTTTCTTTAAGACCAAGCAACACAGACCAAGAGAAGCTAAGTTTCTAATAATTTATATGGTTACATATCAGTTGCCATGTATAATAAATTATAGAAACCACAGCATCTTTATAAACTATTTAGTGTATCATATTTACTTTCTAATGCTTACTGCAGAAACTATAAAAATTTAATTAGATTATATTGTAGCATTAGAAGATAAAAACATTATAAAACTTTTTCACAGTAGTTTGGATTTACGAAAGACCCCATTATTTTAACTTTTGGGCAACCTGTTTGAAATGTATAAAAATCCTTTACAAACCAAAGAGTGGACGACGGTTTTACGTGAGCTGCTGAGGTTATTGCAGTTTCTTGAATTTGTACTTATCACCTATGTGGTGCACGTTTTCAGGCTTTGTAACAGATGCAAATAAGTAATCAATTACTGACCTCTAAAAATCTACACCAATAGGCAACATTAGGGCTTGGCAACATTTTTAACATTCAGATAAAACCATTCAGTAAACGATTTATGCCTGGTGGTATTCTCTTTCCCTGTTCTCCCTCACCCTCTTCCCTCCTACTCAGTTTGGTTAAAAACAAAACAAAAAGAGTTCAGCCTGAACATCAGCGCCCGGGCCTGACAGAGCCACCCCGGAGGCATGCCTCCCCCGGTGCCTCCCCCGCCGTCTCTCATCTTCAGTTCTCCTGACATCTGTCCAGACTTCTGCGGGCTCTGGGCCTTTCCTGCACGGACAGTTTGCAGTCCTTGCTGACAGCGCTGTGCTTTGCACTGGAGCAGCACCGGCAGGAAACTGCCTGTGGTCCTGTAGCCGGTTTGTTCTGTGTCTCTCCAGCCGCAGAGTCCTGATGGCAGAGAAGCTTGCAAGGCGGCCAGCCACCAACTGCAGCATGTTAGCGTCTCACAAACTCACTTGCTCTTTAAATGTCCGTTCTCAGATAATGTCCTTATCCGTCCTGTACTCCTCAGTGAACTTTGATGGAATATTTGCGCAGTTTCAGAAACTGGAAAAGCTTGTCTTTCGTCCTCTTCTTCAGGGCCATCAGGGCTCGTGTTTTCTCCTCCAAATCTTGATCTATGGCGGCGATGATCCTAGCTCTCTCCTCTGCTTTCTTGTCTCCAGAGTTCCTGAAGAGCCTTTGTAGTGACTCCTGGTCTATGTTTTCAAAGATGTTTCCCACGGCTTTCTTGCGGGAGGCTGTGTCAAAGTGGTAGCCGTGGATGGAGGGGCTCACTCGTAGCGACGTGGACATGCTGATGGCTTGGTGGCTTCGCTTAGCTCTCATGGACGTGGAGTCTTCTGGAATTCGGCACCCAGGCTCTCCAGAGAGTCTGTAGCAAAGTGATTCTGGGACTGCTATTTAAAGTGTGAACAAAAGCTCCAGGCTCAAGTTACACTGGTGACATCAGAGTGATCTCAAGGAAGGGTGATCAGACAATTTAACAGCTGAGTTGCCAGTGTCCTTTTCCTGTGTAAAATGTTACCAACAGCTGTATTCAATGATCAGGGGTTGGGCTGCGGGTGTTTCTTTTTATTTCATAGGTGGCAGTAGGATTATACAGACTTGGACCTTTTCTTTAAAAAATAGCCAAAGTCAGGAAAGTGCAAAGATAAGACATAAACAGGGTGCTTAGGCTCTCAAAATCTTCCCAAAGAGCAGCAGCACAGGGTTTCTGCTAACCACAGGAAAGTTTTAGTTCGCAGTGAAGTCATCAAAGTGCACTCCAAGCACTCGGATGCCCTGCGGTCGCGCCAATCAGTGCAGTCCCAGGGCCACTGAGAGAAAAGCTTAGCAACGAAAGGCAACAGCTTGGAGTTTGTCTGATCATAGAATGTGAGTCTGCCTACAAAATGCTGACACGACACAACCTGAAACCATGACTTTTCAGAGACCGTGTTCAAGTGCAAATCCACAATCACTGAGTAAAAACTTAATTTAATAATGATATTACTAATAATTGACAATATCTCCTGAGGCTTGTGTATATATGAATGCAATAACTATCAAAAAAAGTGGGAACAGAAAGTTAATCAGATGTTTCATGTACATAGCGCCTAGAAGGAATGAGTTGACCCTTTGTTTTAAAATTTATTTTGGCATCGCCCAGACAGTCAGAGCAACAGCTTCTTTGGAAGAATTTGAGTCTGTCCTTCCTCATCTTCAGCCAGCCGGTGTCCCACTGGTATGTGGAGTCCTTATATGCTAAATATCACCTTCAAAGGGCCCCAGACATGTCTGTTATGGACCAGATGCAAGGTCCACTTTCTAGTCCTCTAAGAACACAGGCTGGTCTTTGTGTTCTTCTCATCTGGTCGAGTCAGATCTAGAAAATGCACAAAGGCAGACAGTGTAGGGAGGCACCTCACGAAAAGTCTGAAAAAAGAGACTCCTCTTATATATTCATCCATGCATTCACTCATCTGCTTCATTTATTTATTTATTTGTTTGTTTGTTTGTTTGCTTGCTTGTTTATTTATTCATTTATTTATTTTGGCTACTGGCTGGTAGAGGGATCCAATCCCTTGACCTTGGTGCTATCAGCACCACACTCTAACCAAGTGAGCTCACCTGCCAGGGCCCCATCCACTCATTTATTAAATCAATGTTTATTAAAGGCATTGAAAGGGAAAGGTTGAGATTGTTACAGGCTATTCAGGTGCAGCTTCTTTTAATGTGACATTATGCAAAGACCTGAAGGGTGTGAGGGAGTAGGTTGTATGGGTATCTGCAGGGAGGTGTGTCTTTCAGAAAGATAGCAAGTGCAGGCATGAAGACAATAGCACTCATGGCATGTGTGAAGGACAGCCAGGCATGAGTGGTCAGAGCAGCGGGAGCAGGGACGAGTGAGAGGAGATAAGGTCGGAGTGGGAAGAAGGCTGGGTCAGCTTGTGTGCAAACACGTAGGTCGCGGATTTAGTTTTTAGTCTGTAAGAGATAGGTAGCCTTTGGAGAACTTGGAACAGAGAAATGGCATGATTTTAATTATAGTTTTAGAAGATCACTGTCACTTCTTAGTGGATAAGAAATTTTAGGGAGGCAACAGAGAGTGGGGAGCAAGAAGACTAGTTAGGAGACTTTCAGGACAGTCCAGGCAAGGAGTGATGAAGGCCTCTGCTGGGGAAGCAGCCGTGGGAGGAGTGAAAACTGATCCAGTCGGGGCACGTTGTGAAGGTAAAGCCAGGAGTATCGCTGAAGGATCAGACATGAGGAATGAAAGACAAACAGGAGCCCAAGACGTTCCTTCTGAAGGACGCCTCCCGGCGAGGCATTTGCAGGTGCACCGTGCAGCTCACTGACTGCTGCAGCTGACGTGTGCTGCAGTGTTTCCGTGGAAGAACCTATCTATGTCTTGCTGTCTGCTGCTAAGGATTTCCTGGCAAAAATGGCACACGTTTGTGGCAGCCCATTTCCTCTGCTGGTTAAAGACAAAGTTATTATTATTATAGCAACAGGGATTTACTGAGGTTCTATTATGTGCTGAGCATGGGGGCCAGGCATTACAGAACCCGTCTTACTTTCTGCCGTTCCTCAAGGCTTCATCAGCCGGCCCATGCTCTGCTCTCTCGTGAGCTGATTCTTATGTGGGCTCATGCTTTTTATGTCCCCTCTTCATTGATTACGCCTGCATTTTGATCCACTGCCTACACCTGTCCTCTGAGGTATAGACTCATTTATTTACCTAACTAATCAATACAAATATATGTATTTGGTACAAATATCTATTCTATTATAAAAGCCAGAAACCTGGCTAGTGTCCTTGACATCTCCCTTTCTTTCTCCCTCTGTGTATAACCTGTTGCCAAGTTTTATCAACTTCATCACAAAGCCTTTCTCAAAGCCATCCACTTTCTCTGCATGGTCACTGCACAGCTCAAAGCTCCCTTTGAGGTTTCCACAGATTCTCAGCTGTCAGCCCCTGTGGTGACTGACACCACTGAAGAAGTTCACATCGCCTGTGGGTCCCTCCTCCCCACTTCCCAGTATTGACTGATCAATACCAAGATGTAAAACCCAACCACCCTCGTCAGTCCCAACTCTGAAAGGTCATCTACACTTGAGATCATCATTAAGGATCTGTTGGGATCTCCCTCTGCCCAATCCTGTTTCTTCCCCGTATGCAGGCATCGATCCCAAGGGCTCTCCATAAGAAATCACCTGCCAGCTGATCTCCATCTCAGAGCTTGCTTCCTTGGGAACCCAGCCTGTGACACTATCATCTCTCACCTGGACTCAGATTAAGTCTCTTTCCTGGCATTCCTGAGTACATTCCTGCCCTGCATTCCATACACAGCACCCAGAGCAATATTTTGCATAAGCAATCTGATCCAACCCCTCCTACCATCACTCTTTGGATAAGCCCCAGAATTGCAGTATGACATGTCTGAGTGTGAAGTGCCATGGTCCCTGAGTACCTCTGCAGCATCGCAACTTGCCAGTTTTTCCTCTGTGCTTTTGTGCCTTCAGACTCCTTGAACGCACCACCCTCATTCCTGCTGTGGGGCTTTGCACATATTTTTCCCGTTTCTGGGAGGTTCTTCTCTACTTTTTATCCAAGCTAGGTATTCCTAGTCATTCATTCAATCTCAACTAAAAGCTGCTTGCTCAGAGAGGCCTTCCTGATCCTTGCCAATGTACCAGTTACCGCTCCCAAGTAGCACTTTTAGAGTTGGCAAACGCACACTTCTGGGCATGTACTCATTTAAAGTCTACCTGAATCTAGAACAGAGATCAGATCTACCTCTCTAACGTGTTCAAAGCTCCTAGATCATTTAATATAGAGGGTTTTTAAAATAGTAGTGTTAAATAACAACGTGTGCAATTTTATTTAATTCTCATAGCAACCCTACGCAGTAGGGACTGTTACAATTCGTATGTTAAAGATAAGAGAACTGAGGTAATAAGCAATCCATTCCCTGGGGCAAACTAAATAATCACTCCCTAGGATGTCCATGTTTTAACCCCTGGAACCTAATGAATACAGGCAAAGGGAAACCTTGGATGGAGAAAGGGATTTTCCAGGTGAGAATAAGTTAAAGATATTGAGATGTGGAGATTTATCATGGGTTATATACATCTGTTGGTGTAATCACAAAAGTCCGTGCAACACCAAGACAGAAAGTCAGAGATGAGAGAAGATGCTATACTGCTGGCTTTGAAGATAAAGGGGCCACAAGTCAAGGAATGTAGGCAGCCTCTAGAAGCTGGAAAAGGCAAGCCAACAAATTCTCCCATAGATCTTCCAGAGGGAATGTATCCCTGAAGACCCATTTTAGATTTCTGACATCCTAAAGTGTAAGATAATGAATCTGTGTTGTGTTAAGCCACTAAGGCTGTGGCAATTTGTTATAGCAGCAATGAGAAATGAATATGCTCCCCAAATCTTTCAGCTATGGTAAGGTGACTTGAACCCAGGGCTACCTGACTCCAAAGCCCATGATCTTAAACCCTCTGTTGTTTTGCTCTCAAATCTGCAGCAAGTTCTGTCTTTGAAAAGTCTGAATGATATTTTTACATGACATTGAGCAGCTCTCCTTGCATACCAACTAAAAGCATTCAGATGGACTTGAAAGATTAAGGAGTTTCAAAATTGTTTAGAGGACAGGGCCATCCACAGGGAAACAGTGTTGGTTTTGTTTCCCAGAAATGTGACACAGGCCCTAAGGTTATGATCTGCTGAAGCTCTTTGCCAAAGGTGACTCCACATGTGTTTGGAAAGCCTTCCTCTGCTGCCACACTGCTCTTTCCCTTCTTTGTGTAAATATTTGCAGTGAATCATGTGGACAACAGGATCTAACAAATTACTCACAAGCATTCACAAATCGCATGTGAACACCCCACAGAATTTTGCTTTCTGCAGTAAAGTCAGGAGATAATGAAGGTTATTGAAAAGAAGCCACTTCTGGGCCAGTGTATTTTCTTCTGGGCACCAGATTTCCAGTATTTGTTCATTATACAAAGAGATTGAATGTCTGTTTGCCAGTAATAAAGGTGGTTGGTTAGTTTTGTGTCTGATGAAGAGATTTGAGAACACAAAGGGAAAGAAGAAAAATAACATTTATAAGTGACTCGTGCACCTGGTTTTCTGCATAAAATTTTTGAATCACTCTTCCTAACAGTACTGCGGGTAGACAGTATTGACTTTCATCTTCATCACTGAGGGAACTGCACTCAGAGGCTGAACAACCTGCCCACAGTAAGTGGTAAAACCTGAACTCATTTCTGGATTTTTTTTGATCTTCAAAGTCTTTTCAGGGTTTTCCTGACCCTTTGTTGGGTTACTTGCC